CTCGTAGACTGTTATGGAGGACAGTTATGTCTCCTCTATCTACTTTGCACCAAACCAGGTCTTCTCCTTCCCCCTCCCTGTATCTTCCAGTCTCTGCTGCTCCCTCCACTCCTCATTCTGCTTCAGCTTCTGCACCTGCTCCCGGTGTAAGGAGTAGAAACAGCGCTGCACACAAATGTCGTAGTTGAAATTCACTTTAGTTGCTTCTAAAGCTACCTGATAATGTATGAATGCTCCTTTAAGGGTCTAGCGTCACGAATACGTAGAATATGCTCTTTGGAAGTTTATGTTGCTTGCTTACTTCGCTATCTGACGTTTAAACCAACTAACTTCCGACGACAACTTACCAGTGCCTGTCAGTGCTTCCCATAATATGACTAATTGCACCTTCAAACGAAGCATTGATCCAACAGTGATTCTGTGCTATGGTAGGCAGTACATATTGACAGGTCTCGGAGAGTGATGAAGGACCTATGTCGTTAACTCACTAACTACTTACTTATGTAATCAGGACTAGCATCCGATTCACTCGATCCCATCACCTGGACAGCAGCCCTCCATTAGTTACTTCAGAACTGGTAAATTTGTGCCACCTTTTGGGTACAACTCACGTCTCATGTGCAGAGTAACACAAAATTTTAAAAAGCGCTAGAATCGCGTGATTTTGGAAGGAGTCCAATATGCTCACAAGGTGAACACTATGCGGCGGAGATAAATTAACGAGAGATAAGTTGAAAGATACAGTTGCACCCATGTCCTCTTCTACCTGGCCAGCAGTCCACAACGCCAAGCCATCCTGTATGTTAATGGGAAAGACAGACCCCTTTTCAGAACCAAATATCTCTACGTCAGGAGTTGGTGTAAGTGGCAGCAAATTTTTTCTCATCTGAAGAACTGGAAACTGCTCTCACATGTAATGGACTTCTAGCTCGCCTCAAATGGCATATTGGCATTGTAACCCTCGTAGAGAATGGAATCACTTCAACCCCATTCCCATTTATTTAAACGCCTTGCTTGTCCAGTCATGTCACGGAGTTTGCATGACAAGCAACCGAGAGTGTCATATGCTTCGTGAGTCAGTTTTACCGGCTGCACCTGTCAGCGAGTATGCAGTGACTTAGGCAGTAACTTGCCATCAAATGCTTAGACCGACAAACGGCCCGACAGGCCCATCAACCCGTCCAAACAGAATATTTCATACGCAGTTAACATGGCAATGGTGGCGTATTCGGTCACTTGCTCTTGTCATTAACACATATCTTCGGTTTTATACTTAGAGATGTCCCCAACACCGACTGCTGCGCCTATGCAGCATAGATTGGCACGGAAGAAAGGAGTAGAGTTTGTCTGTAATTAATATAATAGCGGAGGCGCGGTAGGCGAAGGCGGAACAGGTTAGAGCTAGAAATTGTTACGCCTGGCCTTAGCCAGGAGAGGTGGTGGGCATACCTGAGCATCCGATAAAGCAGTTCTAATCAATTTTTTAAAGGAATCGCTTTCTATAGCATAGTGTGACACATTTCAGAGGATCGTGTTTCTGTTCATTCCCCTCAATGACCACTATCATGTACAAATGTGCCTTAGGTAGGCTGCCACTACCTTCCCCACTCCAGATGATACAAGCCAAATGAAGAGGTGATGCCACAAGAATTCCCTTAATTAATCTAAAAAATCCCACTAACGTAATCATCGCAATACTTACAAGATCCAAACTTTAAGCAAAAATAATTTTCAAATAAAAGTCTGGTGAGCATGGCGACATTTGATTATCAGGTCTACTTTGAGACCCTCAGTTTTGATCATCTGGCAAGGAGACACGAAGATCCACATCCTTGATGCGTAGAGGAGCCGCAGCCATTGCCATTTGGATGGCCTCCAGGGTGGAGAACTCAACGAAAGCCTTGTGCTCTGCTTTATCAATCTTTACCTTCGTGAGAGCACCGAATTGGCTAACGAGCTTTCGGATGGTCTTCTTACCTATTGCAGGAGTGAGGTTGTGAACAACCAACCGGTGAGCAGTTTTGTTGCCGCTGGAAGGCTTTGATTTCCTGCCAATGGTGGGATTGAATGGTTAGATCCACGAAAACATGCATTACAATGCTGCAAAGGCAGCACAACCCATCTCAATACTGGCTGATAAGACCATGCCTCGAGAACAGCTTCCACTGCCTGCGGTGTGCTCAGTTTCGCTAAGGCAGTGACTTGCGGCTTTCAAAGACCACGGTCTATCATTACGATCACACTTGTAATTGCTCCGTACTGAGGTAAATCTGCAGCTTGATAAATGATTTTAGATAACCAACGTATAGGCACGATCCATTCAAGTTTGCCTATTAGCTGTGTCACTTCCCTTGCTTTTGTGTTTCGCCTCCATTTTCTCGTTCCTAAAGAATGTGCATTACCACTCCACTCAGAGAAATACAAGAGGCCTTTCCCACTTAGCTGGTCTCAAGTTTAAGGCCTCACGCCTTGCAATGCTTTACTCATGCATCAGGGTACAATGCAAATCATACCAGTGAGAGAGATCGCAATCAACGCCCTTCTGACACAACATACTCTCTATCAGGAGCTTAAGGAAATAAACACTGCAATGTAACTTTCTGATTTTGTCTCTACTTCCCCTCCATTCTTCCACCTTTCATCTCATCTCTCTGCCTCATCTCAGCCAATTGACATTGCCATGTGCTTAACTCACTGCCAGGCTACTTGAACTGTAAAACTCCTCAATACGCTGGGGACAGAATTCCCTTATGGTGTGCGTTTTCGATTTACTTCTGAACATCCTAAGCTACCGTGTCCTCGTCATTTATAACAAATGTGTTAAAATAAAGCATACGGACACATACGAGGAGTAGCATTGCAACAACAATAAGAATAAGGCCAAAGACCGAAAAGGACCCAGAGAAGAGGCTCTCTAGGGACCCCAGTCCGAATAAAAGAGCAACCTACTTGGCAGCAGAGGAGACAGCCATCTTCTTCTCCTTGTCCTCAAAATGCAGGGTCTTACGGTTATAGGATCATCATCGATAAAGTGAGGGTAGTCAGCCAGTGCGCGAGTGGCATGTGCCTCCTCTCGAAAGGTCACGAAGCCAAAACCCCTCGACTCTTTTGTTTCCCAGTCCTGTACAATATGGCAGTTGATGACGCTACCGTACTGGGCAGAGCGCTGTCGCAGCTGACTGTCAGTGTGATTCAGCCGCAACCCGCCCACGTACAGCTTCACCCGAGATGAGGTGACTTTTCTGCTTTAAAAGCACATTAACAGCTTTAGTAACTTCTTGGTC